GTGTTTTTATGAACAATTCATATTAATTTGTAACTGAGATTCATTGTAATTTTTAACAAGTAAGTAAGTATATTCTGCCGTGGTTGAGCATATGAGTATAAAATTTGATTTATTTTTCGTAATAAAGCATTTATGTTGAATTGAACCTTGGTTCCGATATATTTAAACTAATTTTCTGAGAAAGGCTTTATACATTTGTATATATATAGGGGGCTAGGTAAAATAAAGGACGGACTTTAACCATGTTTAAAAGGTTTTGTCATTGGATCAAAAAGCATACGTGCTTATTGTTTTGAAAATTTCAGACGGTCAGACTTACATGGCTTAATCGATTCAGAAAATGATTCTTAACCGATTAGTATACTCAAACGTAGTATAGTGGAGTAGGGTAAAAAATTAATTCCGTGGTATTAAGATAAACAGAAATGCTAAAAATTATTTCAAAATTTTTGTAAATTTAGCAATATGTAATGTCTCTAACTTTAAAATATTTCTGAATGCAAAAATTACATTAAAACTCTATTAATTACACTAGTTGCTCATGGTATAAAACCTATATGTGTTTTCGGAAGGAAAAGTATAATATTTCTAGTTTTACTTTTTTTATATGAACAATTTTATTTGTCTTCCTCAAAACACTTTAAAAATGGTTTTCATGTCACAAAAATATTGAAAATTCCGTTGAAATAATTTTAAATCTCGGTGAATAGATGTCAGGTTTATAACTCATACTTCCAAGATTTTTTTGGAAAAATATATATGAGAATGTATGAAATGAATTGAGAGATATATTCAAATCCGTAAGTTTGTAATTCTGGAATAAATTGTCAATAATATTTTCGAAATTTATGTATTTTTTTTAATAAAAAAAAACGTGACAACAAAGTTACTAAAAATTTGGTAAAAAAAAGAACAGAAAGTAGGATGAGAAAGTCTTAATTATATATTATTGATTTTTTTCAATACTTATTTTCAATAAATTAACAAGAACTCCTGAAGGATGATAAAAATTAAAACCTCTTTATTTCGTATAGGAAAAAATAAAATTTGTTAATTAACCGTCATACATAACCTTTTCCAAAATTATATGTTTCATTCCATGAGCAAACAAAAAGTATTAGTTTGTAAAATAGCGTACTGAACTTATTTGTAAAAATATATGAAATCTCTTGAATTATTTCTATCACCTCGAATTTAAAAAAGCATTGGGTTCCAGAAAAATATTTTAGAATACAACATTTTAAAGTATTCACTTGTATTGGCGTAATTTTAAGTTATTTATCTTCATGAATCTTTTTGCATTTTTTTGAATTACAGTGTAAATTATTACATTTCTCATATTTCTTGTTGCTTGTGTTTGGGTAGACATTTAATTCTGATTTTTCCGGTTAAACCTATTTCCAATATAAATCTTTTTTGCAAAAATTTGTCTTTTTTTGTTTATATACTAAAATTGCAAAAAAAGCTAAAAATGCTAAAAATATTTTATAAAAATGCTAAATAAAATGCCAAATGCTAAATTAAAATTTTACAGCTAAATCAAAATAAAAAATGCTAAATCTAGCTGCAAAAATGCCAAAATGGTCACACTGATCCGAGTTGTATTCATTTTTGTCCACATAGAGAACCCTCTGAATGGAACATAATGACATAATTATTTTCCAATTACTTCTGTTTTTCCAAATTTTAAACAACTCTATAGGCGTACAAATGTCACGAACGATGGTATGGAATTGCCCATATGCAACCAAAAGTGAAAACCCATATAGGGTAGAAGGGGGATCATTCGCCATAGGGGCACATCTGCCAAAGCGAATAACTTGAAAACTGAGTAATCGATTTTATCGCATTATCAAATTGTATTTTCGTTTATCGATTATCTATCATCCCTGAAAGTTTGAAAGATTAACTTTACATATGATGGGAGGCAGACGTGATTAATTGTTTTTCAAAGGGCTGTGAAAATATTTCACTGTGTGAATTTTTTGTGCTAACTTTTTTAGTTTTTTTGATAGAAAAAATATATTGGTCAGTGATAGAACGTCAATAATAGTGAATAATAAGACATAATAATATTTTCGATAATATAATTTGAAACCCGAAAAAAATTTAAACTAAACCCCAGAACTGCCCGTGGGGCACATTCGCCAAATATATGTAATGCTTGTGATGTAGAACAAAATTTTGTTAAAATATAGAAAAAATCATTAATAATTTGTTTTAATTTTTTTTGTTAAGTTATGTGAAATAAACAATAAATATCTAGTTTATTATACTTTGTTTAGTGAATTAAAATATAAAACAGCAAAATAAGTTTTTACTTTTTAATTTTTTTGGCTTATTTTACTAATGACAAATCTGCCCCATCCCCTTGGCGTATTTACCCCATGGATGGGGCGGTATCGCCGTTTTTGGTCAGTGCGGAAAAGTTAAAAAAATATGTGTATGAGGATGACTTAGGAAAGATTGAAAGGGATAAAACTAAAGCCAACATATCTAAGTATCCGAACCAAGAAAAAAATTAAGAATATGTATTGTGGTTTTAATTTGAGGCCGCCTCAAAAAAAAAGTGGCGTATGGTCCCCCTTCTACCCTAAAGCTTTGCTATTCGGACTTGCATGGGATTAAAATGCTTAGACGTAAAACGTATATAACCATAAATCTGAATATTTATACCCTACACCACTTTAGTGGGGAGGGTATATTGGATTAGTGCTGATGTTTGTAACATACAAAAATATTCGTCCTAGACCCACCTTAAAGTATACCAATCGGCTTAGAATCGTCGTCTGAGTCGATAGGGTATCATATGGTCGACCACGCCCGACTATACTTTCTTACTTGTTTATTTATGTTGTTTACTTTGAACGACAGTCCATAACAATTAAAGGACAAATTCAAATATCTCTATAAAACATCGGGATTTTGTAGTTTATAGAAACGATAGAGATGTCGGCAGAGGAGGCGGAGTTGATATAATAGATTTCAATTGTAGGCATCAGAGCTGGGGCTGTTTAAAAGCTATTTGGGGTAACATTCTAAATGAGAAACTTATATCTTATTACATTGATATTGTCTATCCAACCGATCATTCATATATGCCTGCTAGTTCAAATACACAGGGATCTACTCTCGATTTTTTCCTAACAAATATTCCAGAAATATTATTGTTCTAAATGACCTCAGTTCGGATCACCTATCAGTTCAGATCAAACTCTATGATCAGGTATACAGAACAAACTTTGTAAAATTTGACTACAAAAATGCGAATTGGGTAGCTTTTAGAGAATATCTTACAAGACATACGAACATACCAGATTCAAGTAGTATTATATCTAAAGAACAGATTGATGAAGCGATTATACAATTTAGAAATATCATAAAAGAAGTCATTAGTACTAGCGTTCCAAGGTTATCTTCCACTTTAAATACAAAGCATATACCATCTAATCATATTTCCAGTCATTCGGGCGATGATGAATTTGAATTACAAGTAAGGGTTGCAATCCGATCTTTTAGGCTGACTAATCCCAATATTTCGGAAGATATGCATATAACCAAATCTCAAATATGTGATATTATAAAAAATACCAAATTAAGAAAAGCCCCAGGAATTGATAGGATAGGAAACCAATGTCTTAAACATATTCCAGATAAGTCGCTTATGTTCTTAACAGTTATTTTTAATGCGTGCCTAAGTATGGGATATTTTCCACTTGAATTTAAGACAGCAAAAGTTGTTCCCATTCAAAAACCTAATAAACCTCCCGTCTTCCTATCGTCCAATAAGCCTTTTATCGTCCATAGGCAAGATTTTCGAAAAAAAAATATTAATCAGAAACTAATAATTTAAATATAATATAAATCTAATAAAATTTATCCCCAACATCAATTCGGTTTCCGAAAAGAACATAATACACTCAGGTCTCGTTTTATGCGGATTTTTTTTATGCGGATTCAAATTTATGCGGTTTTCAAATGAACGATTTTTTTTTTTTGAAATTTTAGATGTTTTTAGCTTTTTTACCGTTTTTAAATTAAATCATGTTTGCATCACTAATCGTTATAGTTTATTTTATTTTGTGTTTTTTCTATGCATAGGAGATACGTATGTATGTGTGTTGTGTGTTACTAATGAAAGAACAAACTGGGGATTTCCCTTTTTAATAGCTTGTTCTTTTTTCGGTGCGTTGTTTTTTGTGCATAGAAAATATGCATGTGTGTTGTGGCCATTGCCATTTTTTATTAGCTGGTTCATTTGTTTACTTACAGTGAGTGAGTGATTCGAGTGATTTAACTTTTAAATTAAAATCAGTGCTAAACCTCAATAAATATTTCACTTTGGGAAAAAGTTAGTATAAAAATCGTAAATTTTGGTGGCTTTTTTATTTGCTGAATATTTATTTATCATTTAGGATATAACAATGGAAAAAAATAAAAAAACGAGACAAACGATATCCCTGGAAACAAAAATTTAAATTTTAGATCGCATTTCAAAAGGAGCAAAATATACCGCACTTGGAAAGGAATATAAACTAGGGGAATCAACAATTCGAGCTATTAAAAAAAAATGAGATTTCAATAAGAAAATCTGTAATTTTAGGCACAAAACTAAGCACTAAATATTCTTCTTATTCAAGAGACGAGTTAATTGAAAAAGTGGAAAAAGCTCTCGTTATATGGATTGAAGACTTAACGAATAAAAAAATTCCTGTTAGCGGATATATAATCACAGAAAAGGCTTTAAAATTTTATGAGACAATTAAAGATTCTGAACCGTCAACTTCTACGCCAAAGGATTTTACAGCAAGTAAAGGGTGGATGACAAGATTTATTAAAAGAAATAACCTCCATAACTTCAAATTAGAGGTGAAGCAGCTTCAGCAAATGAGAGCGTTTGCGCAGCTTACCCAGACAAATTTAAAAAAATTATTGAAGACGGGGGATATTGCCCAGATCAGGTATTTAATGCTGATGAAACTGGTCTGTTTTGGAAAAAGATGCCAAGTCGAACCTACATTGCGAAATCCGAAAAACGAGCCAGTGGATTTAAAGCTTGCAAGGAAAGAGTAACATTTCTACTATGCAGTAATGCTTCAGGAGATAAAATGTTAAAGCCGCTAGTAGTAAATAGGTTTTTAAAGCCACGAGCTCTTAAAGGTAAGGATTTAACTTGTTTACAGGTTCATTGGATGGCAAATTCTAAAGCATGGGTGACAACTTCAGTGTTTACTGAATGGTTTCAAAAATGCTTTGTACCAGAAGTTGAATCCTATATGAAGAAAAAAAGTCTTGAATTTAAAGTTTTGCTGATTGTAGACAATGCACCCGGCCATCCTCATTTGGAACATCCAAACATTAAAGTCGAATTTTTTCCACCCAATACAACTAGCATTCTTCAGCCTTTGGATCAAGGAATAATTTCCACTTTTAAAAAATACTACATAAAAAACACTTATCAATTCATTTTAAACAAACTTGAAAATGAACCACTTACGTTAAATGAAGTTTGGAAAAAATTTACAATTTTGGATTGCATTATTCTGGCAGCATCAGCGATCTCTAAACTGCGACCACAAACATTAAATGCATGCTGGAAAACTACTTGGCAAGATTGTGTTGCTAGAAGTACTGGGGAGGAAATATCGACTCTGACTAATGAAATTATAGATTTAGCTCATCAAATTGGAGGAGAAGGATTTGACTCGGTGAACCATGATGATTTAGAAGAACTTTTAGCTGAAGAACCATTAACCGATAACGACGTTATTACTTTAGTTGTTGGAACTGAAGAAAACGTGGATAGTGAAGAGAGTGATTCCGAAGAAATTGTTGAACACTTCACTTCAAAAAAAATTGGTGATATCCTCAGCACAGTTAATGCTTTACAAAGTCAAATTCTTAATATGGATCCAGATATGGAAAGAGCATTAAACATTCAACGCGGACTGACTGATCTGTTTTCCGGATATCAAGAATTGTATAAGCAACTTACAAATTCAAAATCTCAAAGTTTGATGACAAAATATTTTGCAAGAAAAGAAACAATTGAAACTCATAAAAATTCTTTGATCTCATCCCCTATTCACGAGATAAATTCTAGTGATGAAAATGATAATTTACCATATGATGGCAATATGATTATATCATCTAGTGATGAAAGTGACGTTGAACCAATTCCAAAACGATGCAGACAATTATTCAGTGATTCAGATTAATCATACATATTAACAGAATTTTCTTAAAAAACGTTTCAGATATATTTTAGAATAATTTTTTGTTTTTCAGTCGTTAATGAATTAATATTATATTTTTGTTTATTTTTTTAATCCTGTTTTGTTTTTATTGTTTAAGAAAATGAAATAAATATATTTTTGTTGATTTGTTTTATGCGATTTTGTTTTGATTTTTTAATTAAAATTTGAATTTATGCGGTTTTTCAGAATTTTGGAACGAATCATTAGTTTTTATATGAAACTAGAGTATCGTTTTATGCGAATTCAATTTATGCGATTTTTTTTGGAACGCATCTATCGCATAAAACGAGACCTGAGTGTACTGTTCAATCACTAGTCCGTTACCAATAATTTTACTATTCAAAAATCGACGGGAATGGTGCTACTAGACGTGAAAGCAGCTTTCGATTCTGTCTGACAAGAAGGTCTTATTTACAAAATGATTAATTTCAATATTCCAAATTATTTAATTAAAATAATAGTAAGTTTTCTTTGTAATCGTACCTTCAAAGTACATATTGGATCATCGCACTCGGAATTATTCAACATTCCCGCAGAATGTCCTCCGGGGTTCATGTCTATCTCCCACTTTATACAATCTTTATACGTCTGATTTTCCTCAACTAAAAAATTGTACCATTTCCGTATTTGCAGACGATACTGCTATCTTATGCTCAGACATACTTTATTCAAACATTAGTGCTAACTTACAAGTAGTATTAAATAAAGTGTTTAATTATTTCAATAACTGAATGCAAGTAAAACAAAAGCAATTTATTTTACTAGGAAACGGAAACCTTGTTTTACTCCTCAAGGCAATATAACTTTTTTAAATACGGAAGTTCAATGGGAACCTACTTGACCCGAAGATGAAATTTAAAGAATATATACAATACGTAATAGATAAAGTAAATGTTCTCACACGTGTACTATATCCCTTTATGAACAGAAACTCGAGTTTATCTATTGAAAATAAAGTAATTTTCCATGCCGTAATATTTTATGCAGCGCCTATGTGGGCAAAGAGCGCGTTTTGTCATATTGGGAAACTACAGATTGCTCAAAACAAATTATTAAAAATAATTTTTAACCTTCCTTAGTTTTCTTTCAACAGCAAGACTATATTCAATTGCGAATATTGAACTTGTTGCATTAAAGTTATATATGTAGGTTGACATCTAATTTTTATTCTGGATGTATATGATCTGAATACCCATATATTAATGATTTATCATCAGCATAGGTAGCTAGTAGGTAGATGTAAGTTGGTTTTAGCAAAATTAAAAAAAAATATTCAAATAGAGTTTTCAAATTTTGCCTCCAATACTATTATTAATATATACTTAATTATAATTTTGTAAATAACTATTAACTATTAAGAAGAAAAAGTTGTATAACTTGAACTATTTATGTATATGTATATTATTTTTTAGATGAAAAAGAGTGTATATATTATTTGGAAATAAATAATTGAATTGAATTACTAAAATTAAATACTAAATCTGGGAATTTATAAAAGATAGAAGACTAAAATTTTATATGGGAAATTTATACATCCAAATAAACATTTATGAAAATGAATGGACGAACCTTAAATAATGGTCACGATACTTTTCTTACAAAGTGAAAAATGTGTACAATAATAGTTTTTTCCTCCATGAAATGTAAATAAATATGAAAGGAAAAGATATTTTTATTTATATTGCTTTTAGGGTAGCAAAGCACACTGGGTATAACTAGTAAATTATAAAACTCATTATGCGATGTTTACCTTTAAAATACATTAAAAATGATCGGGTTTAAACAGAGATTAATAGAAAATTGGTAAAATTTCTTTACCATTGATATCATCAACCAATTTTGCTGAAATTGTGCAGAAATTATATTCGAAAATTGGAAAATTAAAATTTTTTGGTGATTTTTATTCTTTGTTTTGAAAAATAAAAATCATTGATTGATTTCTATTTTTTGTTTGAACAAATAAAAATTACTGAGTGAGCATTATTAAAAAATTATAAATAATTTTTTGTTGAAACAAATAGAATAAAAATCAAAAATAATTTTTATTCTCAATTTTTATTATAAACATCAAGAAAAAAAGTTTATTGAAGAAATCGATTAAAAAAGATCTGTGAAATATTTTGGTACATTCAAAACATTTCTAGGACGATTCTTTAATACTGATTTTTTTTAAGAAAAATTTATTGGATAATATTTATTTTCTGTCTCTGGTTTTAACAGTACAAAATAATAGTTTAAAAAATGAGAAATAAAATTTGGAGTTTCTTACAAGTGTTGTAAGTAAAAAAGTAAGTTTCTTCTTTTCAGTATTCCAATTATTTGTAGATTTGGTAAATAAATTTGTTAAATTATATATGAAAAACTAGCTATACCTAAAAACAATATAAATAAACCTCCACTTTACAAATTCTTAAGATTCTTCCTTTAATTTTTTCCATATACATCTCTTATGGGAGATGCCTCGTCAACTATTTCAAGTTCCCCAATTTTTCCCAAACATTAAATTGGATTTTTACTTAACATGCGAAAAATTTTAATACATATTCTAATAGTTTTCAAATATACGAATTTTTGTATTTAATTCATGTGGAAGCCTCCTTTGAAAGTCCACTGTATTTCTCCATATGTTCAAATGAATGTCGAAGTTTTTTGTGCAAAATTTTGAGATTCAAGCTCTAATAGTTTTCCATATATACGAATTTTTGTATTTAATTCATATGGGAGGTACCCGCCATCTAATGCTAGTCCGCAAATTTGTTTGTATGTAATTAATGAATATGAGAGGATCCAAGCATTCCCCATCCCTATTTTCACCCAAATGTTTACATGGATGTTAAAGACCTTCGTACAAGATTCGAGCTCTACTATTAAATAAACGAATTGTTGTGTTTAATTCATATGGGAGATGCCAAGTCCTCTATTGCTAGTCCGCCAATTTATTACCGAAATATTCATATTCATGCAAAGATATTTGTGCAAAATTTGAGAATTCGGGCTCAAATAGTTACTTAGTTATACGACATTTTGTCATGTGAGAATTTATTCATGTGAGAAGATCCAAGACCCCCTGATAAAAGTCCGCCTATTTTCTCCGAAATGTTCACAGGACGTTAAAGTTTTTCGTTCAAAGTTTGTATAAACGAGTTATTCTGTTTAATTCATATGGTAGGTGCAATGCCCCCTATTTCTAGTCCGCCAATTTATTACCCAAACATTTACATGAATGCAATAGTTCTTCGTGCAAAATTATAGGATTTTAGCTCTAATAATTTCTCAGATATACGAATTTTTACATTTAATTCATATGGGAGATGTTTTTTTTTTAACGGACGTAGTGATAGCGCGCTATCATCTAGTGGCCCTATGACATCTCCTCCAAGTCAACCCGTTACTACTGTGGCATTTCTTCAGGTTGACTGGTTTAGTGCGAATTTTCTTCTACTTCTTTTTTCTTAAGTCCTTATCATTTAGTATACTTCTCATTTTTAAGATTGTATTAATATACTCTCTTAATGCACTTATTCTTTGAGGCTTTTGTATTTAATTTATTCTACATTTTGAGCCTAATGCCGACGCAAAAGTGGGCGCTGCATAGAGTAGTTGTGAATGCACGACGCACAGTACGTTGTCTCCATATAATTAATGGACAAAAGTAGAAGGAGTCATTGTAGAAAAATAATTTGGTACAAAAGTACGCCTTTACCAAGTTAATATAAATTCAGAAAAATCGGAGCAAGGATTTCGAATATAAAGTGGGTAAAAACGGGTAAATTTGGTAATATCATATCTTCTAAACGAATGTAGATATCAAAAAAATAATATTTGTGTCGTCATATGTTTGAAAAGTTAGGGGGCAGGTATTTGGTACTTTTTTGAAATTTAACCCTTTTTGGAGAAAAAAAGGGGTAAAATAGTATATTAGTACATTTTTGGTACTATCTGTATCTTTTAAACCATTAAACATAGAAATAAAATTTAAATTATATTTTTTAACTATTAAAAATTTAAGAATACAAATTTGGTACCTTTTGAAAATTCGAACATTTAATGGGTTAAAATATTATTTGTTTATTAAAAGGAATTTTTTATATGGATTTTTTATTTGGATTATTTCGAGATATTTACATATTTATTTAAACTTTTTAAAATTAAAAACAAAATTAAAAATTAGAATCTGAACTTAAGCATTCATTAATGAATTATTTAAAGCAAAAAATGTTCATAGATTCATTTGTTACAATATACTTCTCTATGTCTTTAAGCGTTGTTATGGTATTTTTATACCCTATACCACTATAGTGGGGAGGGTGTTATACGTTTGTGCTGAAGTTTGTAACGCATACAAATATTGGTCCTACACTTTAAAGTATACCGATCGACTCAGAATCACTTTCTGAATCGATTAAGACATGTCCGTTTGTCCATGTAAACCTTGTGCGCAAGCTACAGGCCACAATTTTCAAGATATTTGGATAAAATTTGGACCAGTTTTTCGGCACAGGGACGTTGTCTATTAAAAATGGTTTAAATCGGTCCATTATTACACCTAGCCCCCATACATAAGCATAAGTGACCATGCCAATTTTTATAATGATCAGCCGTCGTTTGACCCTAACCCCAATGCAAACCGCCCTTTAAAAAAATTTCTTAAACGTCCAAAAATTTACGTATAACCAATTACCTTATAACCAAGCATAACTAACCTTTATATAAAATTACAACCCTCTTCACAATTTTTTGAGGATCGGCCCATATTAAACCCTAGTTCCCATATAAAGCCTCTTTTAGGAATTAAGTTTTTCATCAATAAATTGCTTAAATACATCGGAATTAAAATTCAACAAATTTTTTATGAAAAATAAATAATTTTTAAAATGTACCTACCCTTGGTGTAGGGTATCATATAGTCGGCCATGTCCGACTATACTTTCCAACTTGTTTTGTTTAGTATCTCTCATATT